TGAGGATGCAATATCCTCTCTCATGTCTCTACAGTCTCACACTTCCAAGTCTAACTGAAGAATCACCTTGACTGGGCCCTACACCTGACTCTGCCTTCTGAATCCAACCAACTCCTTCCTCTGCACTAATGAGACATTGCTTAGGACTACTCCATGGTTTTGCTGTTGCTTGATGATTTGTTTGCTAGCTTATTCCCGTGTCCTACTGAGACAGGACCAGAGAGAGGGCATGGAGAGTAGGCTCCACACAGAAAGAGACATTTTCTCTTTCACCAATGTATCTGAGGCAGGGTGGCAGTGCCCAGCACACAGCAGGTGCCCAATAGGCTGCAGATGAAATGAATTCTTCTGTACAATGGTAGCCCCTAAACCCCCATACAGGTGGCATGTGGATGGCAAGGCATTGGGGGAGGTGGGGACAAAGGAACTCTACATAGCAAACGCCTTGCTTTTACTTAAGACCGTAAATTTACTACAAATGTGGGTGTTGGTCAGGATTTGTGGGCAGTTCAAGTGTTCTCCAGCACCTCCATGCCCACCCTCCATTGTCTTGGATTGGTAACTCATTCCCACCCACTCCTTCCCCAGCCCCCACCAGGGCCTTAATTCACTGTGGGCAGAACTAGTGACCTAGTGCACAAGAAATGAATGAATAGATAGTAATACATAAAGCCCCTCCTAAGGTCTGTCTGCTTTGATCAACTGATGTCAGGACCCAGAATCAGTGTTCAAGTTAAAACCAAGAACAAAGTTTGGGGGCCACAGTGGGAGGCAGGGCAAGTGAGGATGTGGGAGCCAGGGCTGGGAAGCTCGAGTGCAGCACAGGCAGCCCGAAAACTAGCCCGGAAAGATTAGGCCACCCTGATGGGTGCTTTCCATGGGAAAGAGAGTTCAAGTACCCAGCAGATGAACTATGAGGTTGGAATTGTCCATTAGCCCCTTCCTCAGGGGGGTTGTGCTTGTTTGGAATAAGCAGGCCCATGTGGCTGAGTCCATATGCATGAGGACAATGGAAACATGGATGCCAGAAAGCATGGTACCCACAGGCTGGGGTGGTCCAGGTCCTGAGTTCCAGTGGTGCTGACTCTGCCAGGCAGAGGCTGTGGGCAAGCTTCGCCCCACTGTGTCTCAGCTGCAATGCAGGAAGGTCTTTCACCCCTGAAATCTGTGACTTATGCCCCAGTCACAAAAAGAGCTTCAGTATAAAAGTAAAGGAATTATCGGGCCGGGCGCGGTGGCTCAAGCCTGTAATCCCAGCACTTTGGGAGGCCAAGGCGGGTGGATCACGAGGTCAAGAGATCGAGACCATCCTGGTCAACATGGTGAAACCCCGTCTCTAATAAAAAAACAAAAAAATCAGCTGGGCATGGTGGCGCGTGCCTGTAATCCCAGCTACTCAGGAGGCTGAGGCAGGAGAATTGCCTGAACCCAGGAGGTGGAGGTTGCGGTGAGCCGAGATCGCGCCATTGCACTCCAGCCTGGGTAACAAGAGCGAAACTCCGTCTCAAAAAAAAAAAAAAAAAAAAAAAAAAAAAGAAAGTAATGGAGGAATTATCCACTATGGAAAGGCGTTAGTTAATACGTATATGAACTGAAGTTGTTTAAAATATGTATGTGTATGTATTTATTGGTAATTTACTAGTAAACTTTTACTAGTATATATTTACTAGCATATTTTTACTTGAGCATAGTTGTTTCCCAATAATTACTAAAAAAATTTTTTTAATCACAATTATGTAAGGGGGTTATTAATAAATACAATGTCTGCTGATTAAAAAATTTTAAAAGCACCCTGCTTCTTAATCCTGCTGCTACATCGCAATATTTGGAATTATGCTCAGAGTTTCTTGTGTAAGTAGAGGTAGATTATGCTGCAGAAACAAACATGTTCTTTTCTGTTAGGTCTGACAAAAGACCTGTTGATTTTTTTTTTTTTTGTTACAGAAAAAAATCCTCTTCTAGTTGGGTGCAGTGGCTTACACCTGTAATCCCAACGCTTTGGGAGGCCGAGGCAGGGGGATCGCTTGAGTCCAGGAGCTTGAGACCAGTCTGGGCAACATGGTAAGATCTTATCTCTACTAAAAGTTTTAAAGATTAGCTAGGTGTGGTGGCACGCACCTGTAGTCCTAGCTACTTGGGAGGCTGAGGTGGGTGGATGCCTTGAGCCTGGGAGGTCAAGGCTGCAGTGAGTCCTGTTGTGCCAATGCATTCCAGCCTGGGCAACAAAGCAAAATCCTGTCTCAAAACCAAACAAATGAAAACAAAAAACAAAACAAAAAAAAATCCCTCTTCTACACCTTGGTTTCCTCATCTATAAAATTTAGAGGAATTGTGGATTTGAATCTGTTCATGCCTGGGATGTAAAAGGTGAGGTCCTAAGATCCCACACACTCGTTTTGTGTCTCTATCCAGGGCCAACAGAATAGCCAAATCTGCTGAGCATCCCATGCAGTGGTCCTTTCTGCAACACAGGAAGCTTTCCCAAGCAGCAAAGAGACCCAGGCGTGAACAGACACCGTTTCCTAGCACCAACTGGCTGCCACCTAGCATTTCCCCAAGATGTTGAAAAGAGTGGAGGGGACACATACAACCACAAGGATGTCCAGTGGAGATGGTCCGAGTGCCCTCTTCCTGGGTAATCTAAGTTAAAATGCGTTCCTACTGGTTCTGCAGAAATGCCGTAATCATCACATGCATGACGTGAAGTAATAACTTCCCCGTTCTACAGAGGAGCCAATGGAAGCTCATAGAAGCCAGTAAGTGGTTTGCCCAAAAGAAAACTCTAACTCTCCGAAGTTCTTCACAACGATTCTGTTTTACTGTCAGAAATTGGGGTCCTTGGTCAGTGGCCCCAGCACTTCTCTGCATGCCAGGTGCCATGCTGGCAACCTTGGATCCATTCACTTCTGGGAGCTGCAGTTACCCTCTGGGAGGTAGGTTAAGAAAAGCTCCTTTCACAGCAAAGTTTCTCCAAATACAGAACTTATCTTGCCTGTCTGCCAGTGTGGGTCATGGAAAAACTTACAGCTGTACAGAATGGGGATTAAATCCCATTCTGGCCCAAAGTTTGAGATTTCAGCTCTTAAGGATCGATCAGTGATATCATCTACAAAATGGGGATGAGCACTAGGGTACCATCGTGAGGGGCACCTTACCCTAGACCTTGGAGAATAAAGCTAATATGGACACTTCAAAGACAAGTGTGGAGAAGCCAAATTAAAGAAACAGAATGAGTCTTCAGCCAGGAAGATTCAAGGATTGCTTGACTGGGTATCTCTGGCATGTATTAAAGTTGTAGTTAATTGTGTGCTTGATTTTAATGTATTTCCCCTGCTAAGCTGTAAGCTGAGGAGCACAGGAACCCAATCCATCCTTCTCTGCTTTTGTCCCGGGCCCCTGGTCACATGACAAGCACTCAGTAAATTAATGAATGAGACGGAGCTAAGGAAAGAATGTGTCAATCAGAGAGGTCAGCCAGGGAAGCCCAGAGAAATGAGGCTGATGGCACGGTACCATCCAAGCTCTGGCTGGGAGAGGACCTGCTGGCAAAGAGCCTACTGCCGACGATACAGACACCCTGGAGGTATGTGCCCTGGTTGGTCACACTCACACATTCTGGGCCCTTGGGCTACTATTTGCAATAAGATGAATGAACTGGCCTCTGGGGTCACACACCAGGTCTGTGAGCTGGTATGAGCTAATTTTGCCAAGGAATGAGCCTGATCTTCCAACATAGCCAGACCTGGAGCCACAGCAGGCAGGTCAGGTGAAGAGAGCTGCCCCATGACATCTCTCCGGGCAGCCCACTGGCCACTCCCAGATCGTCCTTAAACTTCCAAGCTGCAGGATTTACTGCTACTTTTTCTACAACACCTACTTTGCAAGGTTTGGCTTTAAGGATGTAAATAATGAAAAGGACCAGCTCCAAATGTGCACTTAACAAACAGTGCTACAATTATTGCTCCTTAAGGCACACATCTCATCAATAACTGAGTCAGGATTCCATGAATAAAGATGTGCTATTTTCTGTCCCATGGAGCTGACAATGTAGAGTACAGATAAGGACCACGGTGAATCAAACAGGCTGCAAGTCTAGCAGATCTCCAGGGGAAGAGGGGGGTCATGGTGAGCAGGAGTGCCTGGGGTAGAGCTCACGGAGATGGTGGGAGGTGAACACATGGTGAATTAGCACCAGGGGCCATATGGCCCTCCTCGGGACAGTGGTCACATGTCTGTGGTGTGACTGGCACAACAACCAGAGGCCACAGCCAACATCCCATGATGCTTGACATCTTACACAGTGAACTGTCATGCCCTCGATATGGCGGTAGCTTGATGATGCACACTGTATACGTGAAAAGGCAGAGGGAGCACGGGGTCTAGATGCGGAGGAGGAAGGAACATGGGGTTCAAGGATGACGATGAGGAGCGGAGGCTTTGCAAGGATGGGCCCTCAGGTACTTACTTTTTTTCAGAGTAAAAGGAGGGGCTTGTTGATCTAGAGAAGGAAGCATTCCTCTGGCCTGTAGCTAGTTACCTAATCTCTGGTCCTGGGACACTTTTGCACTGATGTTTCTCTGTGGTGGCAGCTCTGGCTTGCTGGTCAGTTTCCAATCCCAAGCCCAAGATGCAAGGGAGTGGGATGGGCACAGCGTTTGTTCCGATGCCTTTCTTGACCTACCTTTTTTCCAAAGGTTGGCATGGCCCTGTGGAACAGGGTGGGCCCCGTAATATTCTTGCTTTACAGTACTGAATAAGGTAACAAAATGTAGATTTAGAAAGAATGGGCAATAGGATGGGAACACACATGCACTCACACGAGGAAGCTTTCTGGCTGAAAAGAAAGTGGAATATCTTTTTATCTTTCCAATGTACTAATACTGAATTTGCAGTGTCAAAGCAAAGCAACTTTTTGAAAATGGAAAGGATGGCCACATTATGCACAGCGGTATGAGAACTTTTCACCCAGAGAACTACAAAGCATGCATGCATATACATACCCGGCTTGGGTACTGTCGCGATACGGCAGCACTGAAAATATACTACAGAAGGATCTTCTGCCACTGATAAGGACTATTCTAAAAAATAAAAATAAGAACAAACAACAAACACGCTAAATGCAAAGGCTCAAACTAAAAAAAAAAAAAAAATCTATAGCAATTAAGCATTCATGGCATTCATAGCAGTATTTACACGTTCCCACCACCTCCTCTGGCAGATGGTATTCTGCTCTCCTTGCAAAATGCAACCTCAGCGCAGCAGAAGAGGGCTGCCTCTCCTCATCTGAATATTAACAAGTGAGACACCAGCAAGGGTCACTAATGAGCACACCTGCACCCCTTCTCCAGCAAGACCTGCTTGCTGTGGGCTGCACATGCAAGAGGGAGCAGACAGAGCTGAGCCCAGGGTGCCCAGGGCTGAGGGAGCAGTCAGGCCACATTTAAACCATTGATTTCTATTTTGCAGTAAACAATGCAAGAGCAACAGTGCCAGAAACCATGAGCAGGAGAGACACTCAGATGCCATTACGATCATTAGGTTTTTCATCTGCTGGCAACACGTTAGGTTCTGAGAATAGATTAAGGGAACAATTATATAATCAGTCTTAGCCTCCATTCCTGCTATAAAGATACGACTGGAAACTGTTCTATAAGATGGTCTTATGCAATCAAAAACCACTTAAAAAATTTAAAACAAAAACAAAAACCCTCAAAAGCACTTATCCTGGCATTTGAGAATAACTTTTGCCAACGGGAACTGCTGATGATAAACTGGAGAAATGAGTGGATGAGATTTAAAAAGAAACAATAGGCTGGGCGCGGTGGCTCAAGCCTGTAATCCCAGCACTTTGGGAGGCCGAGGCGGGTGGATCACGAGGTCAAGAGATCGAGACCATCCTGGTCAATATGGTGAAACCCCGTCTCTACTAAAAATACAAAAAATTAGCCGGGCATGGTGGTGCGTGCCTGTAATCCCAGCTACTCAGGAGGCTGAGGCAGGAGAATTGCCTGAACCCAGGAGGCGCAGGTTGCGGTGAGCCGAGATCGCGCCATTGCACTCCAGCCTGGGTAACAAGAGCGAAACTCCGACTCAAAAAAAAATAAAAATAAAAATAAAAATAAACAATATTCCGTGTACCACAAAGTCAATACACATCATATGGGGAAGCTTATTTACTTTTGTCATCCTTTCCTTTGATGACCATAAGAAGACCAGGGAAACAGTACAACTATATGCATCAAGGTTTGGGGATTTCAACTTGGTTGTAAAACTATGAAATTCAATCATCCTGGGATGTAGTCCAGCTCCCTGGCATGGCAAACCAGCCCCGTGTCGCCTGGTTTCTGTCTCTCCAATTTCAACATCCACAAAATTTCCCCCTGCATTTTATCATTCTACCCATGCCCTCGCACTTATGGTACCCTCACCTTAACAACAAATCCTGCTGTTTTATACTCATGTTCTTTGCATGCTATTTCTTCTGCCTGAATGCCCCACCTTGAAATACCCAGTGAACTCCTATTTATTCTTCAAAACCTCACTTAGAAGTACCCCCTCCAGGGAGTGTTTCCTGCCCCTTTTCGCGTAATTACTTGTTCCCTTTTTGGTGCTGTCTCCAATTCCCCATTCACACCTCCAGGAGGGCACTGTTGTGATCTGTGCTGCTAATCATTTGCCTTCCTCCTTTTCTAGAGGGTGAGAGGTTTAGTGTGGGGTGGCCCCTCCCATCTATGTGTATTAGATGTCGCTGAAATGCACTGTGAGCCTCAGAGCACAAGCACTTGAGTATCCATCATGGAAGGACAGGGCTGCAGGTGTTCTTGGCAATCAAAAGCCACTTCTGGTGTCAATTCCTAGCAGTTCATATCCACAGTGGTTAATGGAATGAGACCAAAGCAACACCCCAGCTTCGAACACCAGCTGTCACTTTTGTTTGGCCTTGGTCAGCTTACTAACTCTTGTGAGCCTCAGTCTGCCCTTCTAAAAAATGGGATAAAATGAGTAACGATCTTATTGGAATGTTGTAAAGAACCCTCAGAACAGCAACTGGCACATAGTACACACTCAATAAATATGAACCATCTTTACTGCAGACCAGCTTCTTGTGCTAGGATTCAGGTTTTCCAGCCTAGTCCATGGACTCAGAACCTCTTCAGACCTTTGTGCTCATTACCCAGGCCTGCTGAGACCTGAAAGGCCATGGTGCCAGGACAGCTGAAGGACCCCATGCACAGCTGTCTGCATTGGTGTGCCATGAGATGTACACAGAGATGCGGCTGACGGGAGATGCTGCTCATCAGATACCACAGGCCCTCACCCTGGTCACTGTGAAGGACAGGGCGTCATGTCCAGAGTGGACTGTCAAAGGCTGAAGGGCCAGGGGTTACAGGAATCATGAGCATACCCTGCTGAACACCAGCCAGGCTCCTTAGGCATGCCTGCACGGAGCCCAGCAACAGAGCTTCTCATGCTGCAATGCCCATGTAATTTACCTATGCAGACATAATAGCCAATACTTACTAAGTATTATTACGTGCCAAATTCTAAATGCTTTAACTGATGAGGCATGTCAAGTCAGTGATGTACCAAAGGAAATGCACCGGCAGGTAGGGCAGGGCGGAGATTGGAACTTGAGCTCTTTAACACTATGAATGCTTTTCCCCAAACCTTACTAGAAAAGCCTGCTCCTGGGGGCGTGACTGGGTATCCTTGGACTTCTTGGATAAGTCTGTCTTCATCCAGGTGTTCTAGGCTGGCTTTCCAGCCTGGCCTGTGGGTCACCATGCCCAGTGAGGGAGGGGCCAGAGGGTGACAGATCACACATCCCTGACCTTGGAGCTCAGCCTGGCCCCTTCCCAGATGGAAGGGCAGAGGCTCTCCACACCCTCACTGCCACTCCATGTCATCTACCCAGGACAAAGTCCTAGAGTGACTCATTCTGTGTCACTGGGCATCGATGTCCTCTGCCACACGGTGGCAGGACACGGCGGCAGGAATGTTTGAACAAACTCCATTGGCTTGGCGATACTGCATTTTCTTCACTACTCATTGCTAATGTGTCCTTCCTTCCCACAAACTAAATTTGTTTGGACATTCTTAATAGAGCAAGATAATGAGAGAAGATAAATGCAAGTGCAATCCAAGTCTTCTTTCCAACTTTTTTTTTTTTGAGACAGAGTCACCCAGGTACAGCGGCACAATCTCGGCTCACTGCAACCTCCACCCCCCGGGTTCAAACCATTCTCCTGCCTCAGCCTCCCGAGTAGCTGAGACTATAGGCACATGCCACCACGCCCGGCTAATTTTTGTATTTTTTAGTAGAAACAGGGTTTCACCATATTGGCCAGGCTGCTCTGGAACTCCTGACCTTGTGATCCGCCTGCCTCCGCCTCCCAAAGTGCTGGGATTACAGGCGTGAGCCACCGCACCCAGCTCCTTCCAACCTTTCAACTACAAGGTGCCTATCAGCAAATGGGCTGCTCGTACTATTAAATGGGCATTCACTCTGGGTGGTTCACACCATTAGCTCTAGGAGAGGCTGACAACATGGTGCTCATTCAGAAAAACATGATTTTTTTACTGCATAGGTCAAGTTTAGCAACTATGAATGTGGACTGTTTCTCAACAATTCCAGTAGGGTAGCTACTTCCCTGGCTGGCCAGTCTCAAGCAGCTGCGGGAGGAGGGGAAGGGAGTAAGGAGGGTCACATCTTTGGGCCTTCCCCTCCCCTCTCCAGTCATTTCATGGACCCTCACTTTCTGCAGGGGCCAGAGGAGGAATTCACAGCAGAGACCCATGCAGAGGCTGTGCAGCCGGTTTGCCAATGGAGCTTCCAAGAACACCTCATACATATTTCTTGAAGTAGTTCTGGCATCTAGGAGGGACTGCGGACCTGAGCCACAACTGGCAGGTTTCAGCAAGTGATGACTCCAGTCTTCTCGGCTTCTTTCACTGGGAAACCTTGAACAGCACGGTTCTGACAACAGGTCCCCTGTGATCAGCCGTTCTATTTAAAACCTGCGGGGTTCATGTGAATTTGCAGCTTTTCTCTTTATAAACATTAGGGAAATGTCCACGGTAATGGAGATATACAAGAAAAGAATCAGATGTTTGGCTCCTTGCAGGTACCTCTGTTATTTGAGAGAGAATTCAATCAATGACATAAACAAGCACGGTCCACTTCAGACCTTGACCACCCTCATGTCTTTGCCTCCAGCCACTGCAGCTCTCTTCTCTTATGCCCAAATGCCATACAAAAAGCCCCTACCATTTTCCCATCTGTGACATGCAACACTTTACTTAGAGTTGAGACGGCCAGAAAATATTACATGAACCATTATGACTTCAAAAGAGGAACGAATTCCAGGGAGATGGATCTTTAAGGAATTAAAGGTCATATTTCCACAGGAACATCTGCCAGAGGGGGAAAAAAAAAACAGCAAAGGAAAACATTCCCTGGGGCTGCAGCCCACATGGGCAAAGCATCTTGGATACACAATGCTTCCTGAAACTTCCAGGGATCCTCACGAGTGCTCGGAAGCTGAAGGAGCACCATCCAGCTTTCTTCTTCACACAGCCTCATTGCCAGGCTCTTAGGAAAGCGCCTCTCATCTTGCAGCTTCAGACCACAAAGCTTCCACAGACACAACTAGCTCACATGACCCTGAGTGTCCAGAACAGCCGGGAGATGCACAAGGACACCCTCCCCCCAGGTGACAGAGCACCACAGGCCACTTTTCACCAAGTCCACTTTCACCCCCTCAGCCTGGCACTGGTGATATCTAAAAAGGCAATGTCTCTCACCAGCCAGGACCTTCAAGTATTTCCTCTTTTGCCAAAAAACCAGAGCGTTGTTCCATTTCCAGCCCGCTGGGGAGCCTCTATTGGTTGTGAGGTCTCATTTCTTCCAGGTGAAATGTTCCATTACACAGGAATATTCTCTTAAGGACATAAAAACAAGCAACCAACTCCAAGAGGAGTTGAAAATCACAGAGGAAAGAAAATCACATCTGTAGTAATGGAGGGTGGGGGTGAGCATGGTGATGCCCAAACACAGCCCAGCGGTGTCTGCAGCCCA